TTGTCTTTCCATATCAGGCATCGTTGTATAATGTCGCGTGATTTCAAACTTCCAAGTCTTCCACGAGGTATCGACTCTGTTGCTTTCTGTTTCAAGTTTCTATTTATTGGTTTATGAAAGAACACTGCCGAAGTGTGAAGTTCTGGGGTTTTCCTTTTGTCTTTCGTTTACTACAGACCCAATTTCCACATGCATGGTGTTTCGTGGCCTACGCGTTGGTGCTTATACTGATATTATGATCATCCGAGTTCTTAATGTATGGATTGAGTATAGTGATGATTCTCAAGGGCATAAAAGAATAATGCATGTGCTGTGCCTTGACAAAGAGGTCTGTCATTCTTCTATATAATGCAATATTTACTGTTTATGTTTGATTTTATGGTGATAATGCACTAAATCACATTTAACAGGAACATATGCTAGAGGCCTGTATTGAGGAAGATGACATTCAAGGAATGCAACATAAGTTGAAAGTAGGAGATTTACATGTCCTGGATGGTTTTCATGTTATTCCTGCGAGGGAAAACAGGCGTGTCGTTCCCGCTGAAGTTTGCTTTGTCTTAAGGAGTGAATAGATCATATTTTGCGTGCCTGACAATCCGAGTTATCCCAAGTTTCCTGTCAATGCTTTTCTGAAAACTTCGTTTGCGGCTGTTCCAATAGAGGCAGAAGCAGTTGTGAATTATGGAGGTATTTTCCTCAGAAGTTGTTTTCACACAAATTATTCATGATTATTTACTTACTATGAATTTAATTGCAGATGTTACAGGTTGCCTTATTCATCTAACAATTCCAGAGGTTTCAAGTAATGGTGTTCTTAGGTTTGAGCTCATCATAGAAGACCGCAGGTTTCTTGCGTATTCTTATGCTGACTTTTGTTTGTTAGACTTTTATGTGGGATTAACTGATCTTTTGTTATTTTGTATAGAGGGGACAGGGCGACAGTGTACTACTCTGGATCTGAGGTTACAAAGTATTTGGAGTTTGCAGGGGAATCTGAATCTCGGCTTCCTCTCATTACCACAATTACTGTTGTTACAAGGCTGCCAGTTACAGATAGCACTGGAGATGCATATGTATTTCAATCTTCACCTGGGAGTCGTCTGATCATTGCTTCTTACAATCACCATTATGAAAAAAATAATGAATAGGTATTATTATATACGAATTCTATGTTTATATATTGACAAACCTGCTCTGTTGGATGATAGAAAAACAATACATACATGTTTTTTGTTGTTTAGGTTCATAGGTGATCGGATGTCAGTGACTTACATCAATGGTGCTTCTCGCTGCTCTATTGGTTATCTTCGAGGTCTTCTTCCTCCCAAAAGAACACTCAGGCAGCTAAAAGATTATATAATGTTCCATGCACAGTCCTATCAGGTATATGTATAATATTGTATGTTCTAATTGTATTAGATTACACATATCCCAAATATATAGTCATATCTCTAACCTATTACAACACAAATTCCTTCCTTCAGACTCTCTATCGTTGTATGGTGGAAATGACAAGATTTACGTACGGTCCATAAGTCTTTAAATCAAGTTCAGGTTTTCCAAGGTATGATTCAATTCTATGTTTTGCTAATAATCTGTTGTCCATTGCATTTAAGGAAAATCAAAACGTTCCTTTTATTGTTTAATTTAGGGTACGATACGAATTACATGCAACATGTGAGTGTGAGGGCGAATATGTTAATGTTGTATTCGATCATGAAGCTGTGTTGGGCTTGGTCTGCGTTTCACCTGAGGAACTTTTCAGTCTAACCTATGAAGAAGGATATCAGTGCATTGAAGACAGGTGTTATGTGCCATTTGTGGCAGAAGCTTTTGTTGCTCCTGGGAGTTCAGGAGATCCTCCTACTATCCGAATTACTTCAATCTGGAACCCTAATGCTTTCATGTGATTGAAAACTGTTCTACTTGGAACTTAGTTTGTCAGGACGGCTTATTTATAATTATGTATGTTATCTATTCAGGACATGTTACTCCGTTTTCTCTAAAAAAAACTGAATGTTTTTCCCTAACTACTCTGGTCTTTTGGAAATTCACCGATGTACTCACTTTGACCATTGACTACCCGTTGGTTATTCAGTTCAATCCATATGGAAGTCCCTGATGTTTGTACCTCAATAGTTCAGAGAGGTCAATGTTTTGTCTTGATCATGCGTCCAAATAATGAATGATGAAGAACTATATTCAACTTCACTTTTGGCGATCAGTTCCTCAAACACATGTTGCAGTTTATATCATATGAATGGAAGATCTGAGTTATTAGAACCGTTATTAGAACCGTCGTTATCTAAATGTAAAATAGAAAAACTTAAATTTGAACGAATTGCCTTGCCTGGACCACAATCCACAAAACTATGGGACAATACAAAGTGAATCAATAAACATACAGGCCCGTTATTCAAGCCCACAGTACAATGACCAATGCAAAGGCTTTATAGTCACAAACATGATTTAAATAAAAGCCCATAATACAGGCCCGTTCAGACAAAGCGATCCTCCTTAAAACCCTATCCTCCCTCATCAACCATCGACAACCACCGTCCACATCTTCGTCAACCTTTCTCTGCCGAAAAAGCCCCACCACAGAAACTACCAGACAAACATTACAGCAAAGGTAAGTCCACGCCTTTCTCTTCTTCACCGCTTTTACTGCTGAAACAACATTTCTGGTCAGTTTTTGTATTGTTCGTACAGAGACCCCACTTGCCATGGAGAGTTTAGGCAAGAACCGCCAGACAACAGATGGCGCTCACATGGTCCCCACCGATATCAAAGATCAGAACTTTCACTTTCGTAAACAAATCCTCCCAAGAATCTCGATACCTCTGCAAGAAACATAAAAAAACCATTTCGTTTCCCTTTATTGGCTTATAGATCCGATTGAAACTTGCATGCCATTTCGGGGGCTTGCGTTTGGGCATAAACACTCGCATAGTCATTGCGCGGCCTGTGATGACGTGGCTCGAATCCGAGAGGCACCTGGGCTTAAAAACGTCAGCATGTACATGATTTGGATAGACAAGAAGGTTCATTTACAATTAAGTTACAGAATTGCATAATTTATTCATAAGTTCTTTTAGACCAATGTACCATGTAGTTTGAGATCGCTAAACTGTTTATCTTATAGGCACGATTGATCGAGTCGATGGTTGATGAAAAGGACATCAGTGAGATTTCTCGCAAGATTAAAGTCGGGAACCTTTATCGTTTTGATTCGGTGGTGGCTATACCAGCAAGGGAGAATCCTAGGATTGTTGCAGGAGAGTTAAGGATACACATAACTCCCGAACAAAACATCCCTAGAATTGAAGAAGATCCAGACGAGCCACGATTACACATTGGCTGGGACATTGGGATGGCTTTTTCGATAGTACCACTTCAGACAAATACCATTGATTATCATACAGGTTACGCGTGACTATCTAAGTTTTTTATGCTAAAATAAACGTAAGCTATAAAATGACAAACTCTCCTGGTAACCACAGATATCACTGCATGCGTCAGGCGTATTAGTGTTCCTACAACAGTTCGTGGTATCCTCCGAGAATTCAACCTGGTCATACAGGATGTGAGGTGCGTTCTATAGAATAATACACTACTTTGTTAATTATATGAACCATCCATCTTACATATATCTGTCACGATCAGTGGTGCCAAGGCATCTGTGCTGTATAGAGGATATGACATCCCGAAGTTCTTAGAGAATGCGCCGACAGCTGAGACTCATCTGCCCCTCATTGTTATAATCAGAGCTGCTATTCGAGTGCCGCCTCTATCCACCCAGAAATATAAATATCGTTTTGAATCAACTCCTGCCAGTCAGTTAATAATCAGATCTTATGCGGGCATATTCAAAGAAATAATGCACATGTACACTTCTGTCTGAACAAATGTTATTCATTCTTCGATTCATATATACTGCCAACCGACCAGAATAAAGCTAACAATTTGTATTATTTTGCTACAACCAGCTTTCTTTATAGTCGCAGGCAGGTCTACTACATGGACGCTAACACCAGTAAGAAGACAGGCTGCCTTCGATCAACAGTTGAGAAGAAAACACTTGCTGACATCAAAGCTATGCTTGCATCTGATCAGAGCTGCCACAAGGTTAGTCGTGGACAAAATGCATCATAAATAGCTACATCCAGCAGTTACAATTTATAAACAAACATTGCTAACTAAAATATACCGTTCGTGTTAGATGCTTTACCGTGCCAAGTTCCACATATCACAGATGAAATTTCGCAAAAGCATTTGCAGGACAACTGAGGAATGGCCAGAGTATGTTTACTATTTCAATGCGCGTCTATTATCTGCTAATTGATCCACACAGAAACTAACATAACTTCTCGCTTACATTTATGTCCAGCTTGCACTATCAACTTGAAGTCAAATGTGAACAAGGATATGATGACATTGATGCCATACTGGACCATGAGGCAACTCTCTCAATAATCGGAATGACGCCAAGCAAGTACATGAAACTCGAGGCGGATGCGGCTAAGGCGTTGCTGATAAAAAAATGCAGCAGAATGTTTGCAGGCGAACTGTACATCGGTTCCTCGGATCTCAAGAACAGGACCGCACCAGTCAAACCTCACGTCAGAGTTTCAACACTTTGGCACACCTCAAGAATCGACAAGTGATCGTTAGCACCAATGATAGAAAGAGCCCCTGCTACGTGTTTGCTACCTCTATTATCCTCCTTCCCTAACTAAGTTTTTATTCTCAAGGTCCAACGAGGACAAAACAATGTTTAAATTTGATTAGGATTTTCGAATTTCACAAGGCTGTTAAGCACTATCTTTTGTTTTTATGCCTTGGGACATTAATTCCGCGTCTCAGTTGCGTGCACCCAACTATAATGCATCTACAATGGCAGCATCCTTGCTATGACAACTATGATATTTGATGAGGCCTGGTAGGTACCATAATTGAACAGCCCTGTATAACCTGACAACATATATATCATAATCCATGAAATTACTCAAGCCAAACTTAACCCGCGGCGGAGCGCGGGCTGAGAACTAGTTTATATAATTTAAGTCACCAAACGTGGAATGGGTGGTACCGTGGTAACTTGTTCATCTTTCCACCGCTTCGACTTTCTATCGCGCATTACAAAGTTGGCAATAAAATCTTCGTTCCAGGAATAGTTCTTCATAAAAGCTACGCAAACTCAGAATAAAGACTGTCTCTCCCACATTAAATACCCAAATTGCATCAACAGGGGGCTTACCATAACGAACAAATTTGGTCTCAGTCGTGCAACCAAGAATTCATGAACACCCCAATTCCAAGCTGTTTAAGTCTGTTCGGCTTTTTGGAATGCCCTTTCTTCGACAGGAATGAAAGTGCATTTGGAGAAGCAATACCGCGGAGTTGCACCAGGTAGAATTTACCTCCGGGAAATTTGGATATGACCTCTGAACTCCCTGAAATTTGAGAACTTGACCACGAGCACTGCAACATACTATAACTTGCAAAATTCCACTTGACTATGAGCTCTCTTTCACTTCAACATACAATGACTTGAAGAAATTCCAGGGGATCGATACTGCAACTCATCCAAAACCAAAACACTGTGTCCACTTCATACGCAAGTTTGCCCAAAAGGAGATGCGGCTATGATGTGTCATTGTTGGTTCCCTTTCTTGCACCAGACACTTGACGTTCATGGGTATCAAACTGTTTTACTTCTTCAGTGAGTTGAGATGTTTTAACCACATCTTGTTGCGGCTTGTGTTCCTGCTTAGTGCCCGATAATTTTCCAACCTTAGTAATTGCAAGAATCAGGTCCAGTTGCTTTTCTTGCTGCTCCTACAAAATGTACTCGAACACAAGCCAAGTCAAACAACTACGTCTCTGAGATGTCAAAAACAACTTTCCAGAACACACTAACAGTTTTTTGTTCAGCAAGTTAAACATTGTTTTTAATTCTAGATAGCAACAACAGACAAGCATTGGTCGTTAAAACTCATGATACTTATAAAAGTGACTGCCTTATCTAAAAACCAACTACATTTACACACATATACAAGGAACTTGAGCAACTTTTGCCTTTGGCATGAAGGTGCACAGAGCAGGTTACAGAAGGCTACCTGCATTGCAAGGAGAACCTTCTGAAGTTCACCAAGTTCCCTTTCCAGAATGTCTTCCTGCATTGCTAATGCACGGGTTGCTTCGGAATTCCTTTGAGCCAAAGCTGCAGCCTTGAAGTGTTCACAAAGAGGAGTTAGGATCTCACCCTCCATAGATGGGCAGAAATAAGTTAAAAGTATACAACCCAATAGCCCATCACGTGATTAATCCTTTGGAAAATTCAGTGTTATACCCCCCTAGCCTAAAGCTCATTGTTAATGACACCCCTGTTGTCTACAAGGAAGACACCACAAAAATGTTCTTACAATAAACAGTCCAAACAAAAGCATCGAATAATGAGTTACTTCTTAAGTTAGCTGTCTGACCAAACTCAATCTGTGGTCTTTCTTTACTTGCAGCAAATGAAGCACCCATACTGATGTCCAAGCTAAGTCAAGAATAAGATACAGTCATACATCAGTTTAGCTTCATAACATGCGATCTCATCAAGCTGCTAAGTAAACAATCAGAGCATATTTTAGTTGTTATACTTCTATCAGGAAAGTGGCACTTCGAATCCTGATCATTGATTCCCAAACGGGAAAGTAAAAAGGGAAAGGCTAGAGTTAATCCTAGGAAGGAATGCCTTGAGTCCTAGTGTACAAGCAAGCCAATAGGAAGAAGAAAGCTTTAATGCCTTTGACTACAACAAGAGTCATTCACAGTTTCTATAGCTAAATCGCGTAATCCTAAACAAATTATCTTGCATTTTCAGCAAATGCATCTAGATGGATCAAACTAGAAGTTATAAGTAGAAGAAATGAAGTGGGAAATGAGTTGGATATACCTCGGCAATAGGCTCTTTCAAAGCCTTCCTGGTCAGCCGGAACCGGATCCCCAACTTCTCAAGCTGCCTGGACAAAACCCTAACAATGGTAGCAGAACTCTTCAAATCCTCTTCTAACTTCTCAATTCTCTCGAGCAAATTCACGCTATCTCGACCTTCCCGCACCGATTCCTTGCAAATCCTTCTCCAATGTCGGCGCCTTATCCAGCCCCCAATCACCACGCTGCTTAGCAGCAGTAGCACCCCCCACGCGAAGGCACCATTGCTCCCAATCACCCCCAACACCGCCGAAGCTGTCTTTCTCCCGCTAAGAACAGTACAGTTCAGGGCGTAGCTCACCGTGACAATCGCCGACGAGAAGATGCATAAGAACTCCGCGATTGCCAGACAAGCATCGAGTGTCACGCCGCCGCCGCCGCTGCTCGGCGTGGTTATTGAGCCGTCGGATTCGTATGCGAAAGGACTGAAGTTTCGGGGTCTGACGGTGGAATTCCAAGGCGGCGACTGGGGCTCGTACCCGGCGAGACGGAGGGAGGAATTGAGTGAAGGGCGGAGACAGGGGAGTTGGACGGAGAGTTTCAGGGTAGTTCCGGAAGTGTTGCTACAAAGAGGGCTTATTTGTGGTGGCGAGTTGATGAAGAGTTGCTGCTGAGAGGTGAGCAACATTTTAGGGATTTTGGGAATGGAGGTTGGAGTTTAGGGGTTTCGAGAAGATATGGGGAAGCGAAACATAGTCGGTCAGTGAGTAGAAGAAGCTCTTCCAAAGTTCCGATCGAGCGGAGTGAGGAAGAAGAAGAAGAGCGGGCGGGACAATGTAGGGAATCAGCGCAGCTATGTTAGTGGCGATCAATTCGATGATAACTCGAATTTTTTTTATATCATATAAAAAGAAGATTTCGATATAATAATAAGTGACTCCAGAGGAGATCCGGCGTACGGTCTTTTCTATAGGCTCTACGCAGGCTTCAGGATCGGACGTAGGGTTGGTATTCGGTAACCGGTATTCGGTATAACCGGGTATCGAACCGATTACAATCGGTATTCGGTATACCGAATACCGGCGGTATCGGTATTCGGCTGCCATTTTCGGACAAACGGTATACCGAATACCGATTGGTTATATACCGACGGTAAACCGGTATACCGAATACCGAATTACAAAAAAAAAAAAAAAAAAAAGAGGAAAACGCAGCGCAGCGCTGTAGTGGAATTGGGGAAGGGGAACCCTAATTCCCTAAATGGCTTTTGCATCTGATCCCCGCGGCCCGCCCTCCAGCCTCCACCTCGTCTGTCGCTGTTCCTCTCCAAGACTCCATCCGCCTCCTCAGTCGACAGTCGAAACCCAACCGCCCCAGTCGAAACCCAGCGGCCAGCGGCGAGCCCCTGCACCCTGCGCCGAAGGTCGGAAGCGGGAAGGCGGCGAGCCCCTGCACCCAGCGCTGGCAGCCAGCTTGCCGCGACGCCGTGCTCCACCACCACGCGTCGTCTGTGTTCCCCTTCGCCGGCAGCAGTCGCGACTCGCCAGCGCCGAGCCCTGTCTTCCACTCTTCCTCTTCTCTTCACTTCGCCATCGCCCAGCAGGCCAGCAGCAGTTCCCGACTCCCCGTGTGCCGTGTCTGTCTTCCTCTTCTCTTCTCGAGGGCAGAGAGTATCTGCTGGTAATTAAAGGCCCATTTCCTCCCCATTCTCAGTTAATGATTCTCAATGCATTAACCGGTATTCGGTATACCGGTATTAATACCGGATACCGACTATTCGGTATTCGGTATACCGGATAACATTCGGTATCGGTATTCGGTGGGTACACAATGTTATCCGGTATACCGGATACCGACTATTCGGTATCCGGTATACCGGATACCGACCGATTACCAGCCCTAATCGGACGGGTTTACGGGCAAATTTTTTAAGAGCTTCTGGGACATTGTTGGGCCTTCGGTGATTGCAGCTGTACAATCATTCTTTGTGAATGGGCGTATCTTACGAAGTTTCAATCACACATGGCTCACGTTGATCCCAAAAGTGGATACGGTGGAAAATATGCGCCAGCTGAGACCGACTAGTCTTTGTCAAGTGGTCTATAAGATCATATCGAAAATTATGGCTGAAAGGATGGCGAGCTTTTTACCAGATATTGTTTCACCTGGTCAGAATGCTTTCATCCGGGAGCGGCAAATAGTCGATAATGTTCTTATTGGGCATGAGATTATGCACTATTTGAAAATTAAGAAGAAAGGTAAGAAGGGGTACTTGGCTCTGAAGGTTGATATGGAAAAGGCCTATGATAGAGTGGAGTGGCCGTTCTTACTGGCGATCTTAAAGAAGTTGGGTTTTAGCCCATTGTGGATTAGTTGGATTAGGGAATGTGTCTCTTCTGCTAGTTTCTCGGTCATGATGAATGGGAGACCTTCGGGGTTCTTCCGTTCCTCTAGGGGATTGAGGCAGGGTGACCCATTGTCTCCATTACTCTTTGTCCTATGTACGGAGGGTTTGCAGCATTGCTTCGCCAGGCTAGTGAGAGGCGAAAAATTGAAGGTATTCGTGTGAGTTCGCGGGCTCCGCGGGTATCTCATCTGTTTTTTTGCGGATGACTCTTACTTGTTTATTAGAGCGTCATCACAAAGATGCAATGACCTCCTAAATGTGTTGAAAGAGTATGAAACGCTAAGTGGACAGAAGGTGAATCTATCTAAATCCGCTGTCTGCTTTAGTGCTAATGTCCTAGCAGAGGAGAAATCTGAAATGGCGGAGATTCTGAGGGTAGGGGCGATCGGGACCCAAGATAAGTACTTGGGGCTTCCATCCCTAGTTGCTCGGTCGAAGGCAGAAACCTTCCGATTCTTAGAGGAAAAGCTTCTGCAGAGGATTCAGGGTTGGAAACAGAAGCACTTATCGATGGCGGCAAAGGAGACCCTACTAAAGGCGGTAGCGACAGCTTTGCCGGTACATGCGATGGCGTGTTTCAGGATCCCCGCTACTTCGTGTAGGAGATTGGACAGGCATATGGCCCGGTTTTGGTGGGGGTTTGTCGATGGGCGACCAAAAAGCCATTGGATATCATGGAAGAAGCTTTGTCGGAGTAAGCATGCGGGAGGGTTGGGTTTCCGGCGCTTTGAGTTGTTCAATCAAGCCCTGTTGGCGAAAGTGGCTTGGCGCGTTCACTCGGAGCCAGATTCTTTGCTGGCTCAGATATATAAAGCCAAGTATTTTCCGCAGGGGACAATCTTCACGGCCTCGACGCGGTCTCGACCTTCTTGGGGCTGGCAGGGCGTGCTCTTTGGATGCCAGTTACTTCGGCAGGGAATGGTCTGGCAGGTGGGATCCGGTGACCTCATTCCGATAATGTCCGAGGGGTGGATTCCGGCAATGCATCCTTCTCCCCCTATCTTACGGGAAGATGCTCCGGTGGAGGGTAATGCGATGGTGGCGGATTTGATGGATCCGGATACCGGGGAGTGGTGCCGGCATTGTTTAGATGTAGCTTTCACTCCGGCAACGGTCGGCGCTATTTTGCAGATCCCTCTTCCAAGAGAACCCATGCCGGATAGGCTTGTTTGGAGGGAGGATCCCTCTTGGATTTATACGGTTAAGTCCGGATATCGATTGGCGGAGAGGCTATCCCGAAAAACATGGGTTGGAAAACCGGAGTGTAGCACGATGGATCAGGGATTATGGATAAGATTGTGGGGGTTACCAATCCAGCCCAAGCTCAAGTTCTTTGTGTGGGAAATCCTACAAAGAATCTTGCCAACTATGGAGGCTCTGCGGGAGAAGAAGGTGTTAGTTCTTGCTCGATGTCCGGTTTGTTGGGCGATTGAGGAGTCGACTGAACATCTCTTCTTGCATTGCCCGGTGGCGCGTGGGTTGTGGGAAGCTGCGGGGCTGGCTGCTGAGTTGGATACACTACCCACTGGGAGTTTTAATATTTTTTTCCGGCGATTCTTGGATCGCGATGCTTCGCTTTCCCGTGTTGTGCGGTTGGTTTGCTGTTTGTGGAGGATTTGGAAGGGTCAGAACTCGGTAGCATTTGAGGGGATTCAGACCCTTCCATCTATTCTTCGACAGGAGTTCCTTTTTCAGGTGAATGAGTGGTTACAGGTTCCACAAAGAGATGTAAGGGGTGGTGCCTCACAGATTCTGCCGCAGAATGTGGGTGTACCGGCTGGCCAGGGGGTTTCGTTAGGTGTTATCTGCTCCTTTGATGGTGCAGTCCGTGTGGGGTCCCATGCAGCTGGTGGAATGGTTCTGCGTGATGCGGCAGGTATGGTGTTGGCAGTGCATGGGGTGACATATAGCGGTCTCCAGAGTCCAATGTTGGCGGAGTTATCTACGCTTCGGGATGCCATCAGGTGGTGCCAGCACTTGGGCTTGGAGACTGTCTTGCTGGAAGGGGATGCGAAAGTGGTTATTGATAAGGTCAACGCAGGGGGTATTGCTGATGCTTCTGGGGGGGGGCCATATTTGAGGAAATTCGCCATCTCCTATCGGCATTGCCAGGGTTCCGGATCATGTTTGTGGGTAGGGAGAACAATTGGGTAGCCCATCTGGTGGCTTAGAAAGCCCTTTCTTTGTTTCCTACGGGTTGTAATGTGTTTGATTTTCATACTTGGCTCCGCTTGGAGCTAGGTCATATGTAACTTGGTTTTCTTGTTAATGCAAGTGATCGTTTCGTAAAAAAAAAAATCTTTATATAGCTATCAAATTCTGACTTCATGTCAAAAAAATTCCATATCGATATAAACAACATTTTTTTGATTCCGACAATGTAATGTATAATAGCCGTGAAAAAGCGACTTTCTTACTTTTTTTGAAGTTTCTTATTATTTGAAATTTCTTATTATTTAACATTTAATTAATATTGTATTGTTGTATTAGTGTAAAAGATACTAGCTAAGTTGCGGGTGCGGATAGTATAACAACACTTTAGACCTTGTTCAATTCCATTTTCATTTTCTGTTTTCTGTTTTCATGTTATAAATTTTGCAACCGAAACGAGAAAATTTGTTTACTTTTCATTCTGTTTTCTATTCGTTTCCAACTATGAAAACAAAAAGCAACAACTTCCTGTTATTTTCGGAAACGACAAAATGTTGTTTTCACCTGTTTTCAACATCTGTTTTCTCAAATACAGAAAACGAAAATGAAAGTAAACAAGCCCTTAAGTGTCCTTATACTAACAACAAGGATATAACAGTAAAATGACAATAAAAATTCAATTAAAATATATTCATAATACCTACCGATTCGTGTATCTCCTTCAACCTCCGATTCTGGCTTCCCAGCAACTCCGCCATTCTTTCCCCTGCCCAAAGCTTCGCGACGATGCCGCCGTCAGCTGCTTAGGACTTCGTTCCTCCTCCACCGTCGCTGTCTTCACACTCGAAAAAACCCAGATCCTCCTCGGTCGTCAATTTCCGACTCTCTCTCCAGATCAACAGTACTCTTCAACAACTCTCTCTAATATCCCGTTCAGATCTATCTTTCTCACCGCCATCGCTCCGCTTCTTCCTCCCCGCCGCCCTGATTCTAGCTACTATCACTGCTTCAATCTGGTGGAACAAAGGAGATCAAGACCGTTTTTTCTTTTCAATTCTGAAATAAGAAGGAGATCTTAGCGGCGACGGAGGATGAATCACAAATTCCGCTCTTCTTCTTCTTCTTCTTCCAAAATGAGAAATGGGCGGCGGCAAAGTTTCTTCTTCTTCTCCCCTCCATCTGGCTGTCGTCGTTTGCTTGTAATTGTCGGTCTTCCGATTGCATTGTGCCATGCTGCTGCTCGCTCGCTCGTCGGGATCCAAACGAATCCTGGTCGTCGTCGAAGAGAAGCCGGCGAGAAGGTAAATCGGGATCCAAACGAATCCTGGTGCGCTGTCGCTGGTCGTCGTTGAAGAGAAGCCACTTTGAATTAATTCCCTCGACGAGTGAAGAAGGACTGGAGAGAGAGAAGGGATTCGAGAACGTATTGAGGAGGGAATTCAGGGGAGAAGAAGTTGAGGAGGATGGGAAGGTTGTTGACGTGGTTTCTGGAAGAGAGCAACTGCTGCCCAAGGGCTTTGAGCTCCTTTAGAGAATGCTTGGACTTGGATTTCCTGGACTTTTGGTTCCTGCTCGCCGATGAAGCCATCTTTGCGGCGGCGGTGGGGGCGAAGAATGAATTTGCCGGAGACGGGACTTGGCAACACTGTATGCAGTAGCAGAAACCAACAATAAGATTTTTTAATAGTTTTTTATGTGCTTTTGTTTTCATGTTTTCCTTCGAATAACAACATATTGAAGTAAGCAAGCTTGTGAAAGGGAGACCTCTGGATAATCTCGGAGCAGTGGTTGAAGCATATCAGAAACACTACAAAGCAAACCACACATAGTTCTAAAGCACACTAGAAACCTCCTAATACAAATCATAAATGCGATAAAACATACCAGAAATCTAACAAAGCAAACCATAAAATTTTCAAAAGCACACCAAAAACTACATAATGCAAACCACAAACACGACAAAACAAACCACAAATCTATTAAAACAAACCACAAACCTCACAAACCAAACCACAAAATTTTGAAAAGCACACCAAAAAACCTTCTAATGCAAACCACAAAAGTAAACCAGAAACCTTCTAATGCAAACCACAAATCTATTAAAACAAACCAGAAACCTCACAAAGCAAACCACAAAAGTTTCAAAAGCACACCAGAAACCTTCTAATGCAAACCACAAAAGCAAACAAGAAACCTTCTAATGCAAACCACAGATATATTAAAACAAACCAGAAACCTCACAATGCAACCACAACATTTTTGAAAGCAAACCAGAAACTTCTTAATGCAAACCACAAACACGATAAAGCAAACCACAAAAGGCATACAAAAATATGAGAAACCAAACCATAAATCTCACAATTTATACCATAACATCCGGTGGTCGTTGACCGTTGACCAAACTCCGATGACCGTCAGTGAGCATATTCCAACGCCGATAGGCATATTCCGGCCCCGATGACTAGATTCTGACGCCGATAAGCATATTTCGACGACAAAATAGCATATTCCGGCAACAAAAAGCATATTCCGGTGACCGCCGACCAAAATTTTGGGCAGAAAAAAATTATTTTTATTTATTTATAATTATTTAAACATATTTTTCATAATGACAATTATACCTCTACTTTGATTTTACTAGGTCAACTTAGCTAATAAAAAGTCATCACAACCCTAGCTTCCTATTGGTTGGAGACTAGTGTTGTTACAATAACAACACAAGGGGTGTTGGCACACTATCTAGTCCCCTAAATTGCAATAGGATTACTAAAAAGTAAAACGTTTGATTTGGTACTAAAAATATTTTATTTGGTAGGGCGTACTCGGAGGTGTGGGATAAACACGAAAGCCCATGCAAAAGACCTCACGCACCAAATCCGATAAATCCAAGATATCAACTATAGCTAGGAGAAATCAATCCTCGACAACCATCTTATTTCTAGATGTCTCCCAACCACTTTGATATTTGTCTGTTTTGTTCTTAGTTAGGTTAGATCAGATAATTCACCAAATCATTTGATTTGATTAGATAGTAGTTTGGAGAGACATAATAGTAAGTTTAGGGTTACCTTGGACTACGATCGAGCCACTTTACTACATCTCTAGTTTAGTTATATTTGGCTTAGTTATGAGTGACTAGTAAGTGTGTATCGACTTATAAATTTAAAGCTCGATCACAACAACGATCATTAATCATGGCACGAATTGAAATTCTATGATTTGTATGACAGTGGGCACGTTGGAGATTTGTCACCAGCATTTAACAGAAAATGTATTGGTTTCTATTTGGTGTCCAAGTGACATGTAATTAATATGATCAACAAAAATGTAGTGATTTCCCTGCAGCTCTATCCATCATGATAACCATAATTATTAAAATAGATCATTCACATATGGGAGATGTACTAAAGTAAAGCTACATTTAAGATATGAACATTACCATTTTCAATGGAAAATGAGTGAAATGAACTTAGCATTTTAGTCGAACAAATGTGTACAAATCATTTCATAGAAGCGTTCTTTAAAGTTTGCTTTCATTGCTCTAAATAAAAGTTTTGCATGAATATTCGAGATGGTAGTGGATATATATTTACTTTTGGTATGCTTAACTCTATATATATTACACAACATCAACTTAAAAGTTCAACACGGGTGAAATTGTAGACAATTTTGTTTTCTAAAACTATTCAGTTACTACATAAATCTTCAAAAGCAAAGAGAGTTGGCCGATGATAAATTCTAGAGTGGATGGAGATGCAAATAGTGCAAGCAGAATTGGAGAATCACTTTAAAGTTGAACTCGAGTTGTATTTGCAAACAACTTGTCGAAAAAATCTAGTTGTTAATGCCTTCAAAGAGTTTCAATAAATGGCTACCTGATACAAAGAAGAATTTGTCATACTAACTATGACCACAAAAATAAACGAAATCAACTTTTACCTAATACAACCACTAAAGAGCTCATTGAGGAAGAGGATGTTGAGGGACTTCTATGTCCTGTTTGTTCTCATCCTAAAGAAACCTTATCTCATTGCTTTTTGGAATGTCGAATCGCGACTGAATTGTGGGAGTTAGCAGGTTTTGGTCATTTATTCCACCACTTAAACTCTCTTCACACTTAAACTCTCTTCGCGTTGCAATAGGTTGGAGGTTCTAGCTTTTAGATGCAGGCTTATCTCGCGCCGAGGTGACGAGATTGGTGTTCTTATACTGGAGGATCTGGAAAGGGAGATGCTCATCTACTTATGAACTCATCCAATTCCTCCCGGTCTCTTTGCTGCGACAGTTTAACTGTCAAACTGCGGAATGGTTTTCAGCTCAAGAATCAGGGACTGCAAGACGCCGATAGCATCTTCCATCACCGACTGCTTGCCGCAACTCAACTCCACCTACTATTCCTTCTGGATTCATGCTTGTTCATTTTGACGGAGCTACTAAGGAATCCTTTGGGGGTGCCATCGGTTTTGTTGGCTTCGCATCTCAGAATGTTGTCTCTTTTGCTTATGGGCGTTCCTACGCGGAAGTTCACGATCCTTTTCTTATTGAACTATTGGCGCTTCGGGATGCCATGCGTTGGTGCCTTTCTCATTTCGTAACTAATGTTATGTTTTGTGGTGATGCGCAGGTCGTTATCCGGATGGTGTCCGCGAAGGATTCGAATCACGCTTGGGGGGGGGGGCAATTCTGAATGAGGTTCAGGTGCTGCAGACTTCTCTTGCGCGTGTTTCGTTTCATTTCGCTCCTCGTAGGTATAACAGGGCTGCCCATTCCGTGACAAAACAGGCCCTCGCATCGATGGTTCAGCGTCTGGTTGACCATCGTTTTGCTCTTGTTTCTTTTCCCTGACCGTTTGGTTTTGTATATTTTCGTATTTGCTATTCCTTCCGGAATATCTTTGGGGAAAAAAACCACTAAATTCATTCTTTAACTCCCCACTTGTATTTATATGTGGATTTGCTTAGGAAAGATACATGAAGCAGCGAGAGAACACCATTCTGTACAAAAGCAAAAGTGTTCATCTTCAAGTTTAAGTTGAAATGCCTTCACAATTTCACATTCTATATCCATCCACCTTATCATGATTTAATACTTAAAAAGAAATTCTCTCTTCATGATGCTACACGAATAAAATGGGTTAATGTCCAACCTGTGCATTTCACTTAATCAAACTATTCATACACTAGATTAGGGCCCGGCCTCTTGGCCGGAGAGTGTGATTTTCATGTGTATGTGTAGTAAACATTGAGGATTGAAGTAATAATTTAATTTGGTAAGTTCTCCATAAATAATATAGGAAAGTATTTAATGTATTTGACTAATGAAGTTTAAAAAATGACAAACAATGCCCAACTACACTAACATAAATTCATATTTCAAACAAAGTCATATCTATATAAAAATGTCTAAGAAGAACAATGATAAGAGTTGTTTTACATCACACATACATAATCAATCTTCAGTATACGATAAACTTTTTTGGCCTTTTCCATTGACTTTCGTGTATTCAATGATATAATGAAACAAACTATATGTTTAGAGTGTACTTAAAAAGAAACAAACTAACTCACACCGTCATGGTTCCATTGACTTTAGTGTATTCAATGATATAATGAAACAAAGCACGCAGATCTCCAGCTGCAAGTTCAACTAATAGAGCAACACATAAAAAGCTAAATCAAAGCGAAAAGAAGGCAAAAACTAAAAGCATCATACCTAACATTTTGGGGAAATCCACAAAAATAAAAGTCATTGTATGAACACTTGATAATGATTTGAACACTTGTGATATATGAGTAGTGAACGTTAATAAAAGTCATTGTAGCTCTTACTCATGTTAGAAAGACTTTGATTTAATGGTAAGTAAACAATGATATGCAGTGCTTAAGAGGGAAGATGAGACTTTACATTGTTTATTAATATGCATCTTAGTTTCATAATTTTTTCATCATTAAAAATTTATGTGTGAATAGAAACCCATCCAAGTTTGGAGCCATTGTAAAATGTAAATTATGAGGCAAATGAAAAGTCTCAAGCAAGGTTGTCAACTCGCGGGTTGACCCGGACCCGGTGAAGCTAGTGGGTCAAGGGTTAATGGGTCACCCGGTTTAGCCCGAAAATATAGAAAGAGTCATGATATTATCCTTATCCTGATAAATTATATCAAATCTCATCTAACATATGAGTTATAACATATAATATTACACTAAAATAACATGTCGTACTTAGATCCAACATATAGTGAAAATTCACACACAATTATATAACAACAATATTCAAATGTTCAACTTAGGATTCCAAAGATTGAGTTAGGCGAAAAGAAAATCGGAAAATAGGCGCATTTCGCAAACCAAATAAAAAAACGACACAATTTGACCTCTAACCCGGTACCTTGTAGCGGTCGACTCGGCGGGTGCGTGCAACCCGTTTTTCTCACCGGGTCAGGGTCAAAGTGGGTCGACCCAGGGGTCGACCCGCGGGTTGAAAACCTACTCTCAAGCATCCACATGCTTGCAAAATATATAAATCTATATTATCAAACATAAAATCATATCTTGCATAAGAAAAAAGAACAAAAAAGTAGTAATTCGA